ATGCCCAGTGTAAAGGAGGACAAGGCAAAACAGCAAAATGTGGGCCATGTTGTGGAAACGCTAGTGACATTTACAGGCAACTTCTTTACTGAAGGATAAGAATTGCCTGGAAGCAAAGAGAGACCTCTTTGAGAGGCCCGTAATGGGCAGATACGTTCAAAGGCCCCAGTAATTCCAGCCTCTCTGTATTTACCTCCTTGTGTAACTCTCTCCCCTTGAAGAAGGTAACTTGTTTCTGACCAATAGATTTGGCAGAGATGATGGGAAGCCACTTCTGTGGTCAGGTTACAAAAGCCTATTACCTCTATCTTGCTGGCTGACTCTCTCTGATGCCTTGTGGCTTCCATACTTTGATAGAGCATGTGGCCATGGTCAAGAGGCCTGTCTGGCAAGGAACTGATGGTGGCTGAGAACCAGAGAAAAATTGAGGCCCTTTGTCCACATTCTCATGAAAAGTTGAATCCTAAATTCCAACCACAGGAATTTAGAAGCACATCCTTCTTTGATTAAATCTTGAAACAAATATGTTCGAGGTAACACCTTACTATAGCCTGTGAGGTATTTGAAAAAGAGGACTCACCTAAGCCCTGTGCAAATTCCTCACCAACACCAACCAAATAAGAAACATGTAATAAGCTGTTAAGGTATGAGGTGTTTTGTTACACAGCAATGGATAACTGATACAAGATCCATCATCTAATGATGAAAACCAGACAAAGAAATTTATAATGAACGTCATCCTGATTCTCCAGGTCTAAATGAGTCTGACTATATCTTCTAGCTCCTCAAAAGCTCTTAACTTTCATTTGTCAGTTTAGAAACTAAAATGAGACAATCTTGTTCTCCCAAAATTTGTACTGCCTGAATATGCTCCAACACTTACATAATCATTAATAATCATGACTTTCAGGGCCGGGGATTTAGCTTAGGGGTTCCACCACTTGCCTTGCAAGTGCAAGGTCCCAAGTTCAATCCTCGATACCAAAAATAAATAAATAAAAATTAAAAAATAAAATCATGACTTGCAATTTCTTTTAAATCATGTTCTATCAAACTAAGGTTGTTAAGTTTTCTAGGATATATTTTGAACACAATGAATCTTTGTATTTTTGAACAAAATTATTTTATAATAATAGACAAGAGACTTTTATTCCAATTCTATATGCCCTGGCCTCATATGGGATTCTATTTGGTAAATCCTTCCTACCTCCTTCTACCTTTAATGCATAATCTCGAACCCAGGAAATTCTGAGCTCTGAGACAATGAGCACCAGAAATCGTTTATAAACAGGGTATATTTAATCCACTGCTACCACCTTTGAGAAATCGATAAACTCCTGAGTGTTCCTTAATGCTTCTTTCACTGAGGAAATAATGCAGAAGGCAGTTAAGCATTAGGATTGCAGTTTTGTGATTAGTTTTATATTCTTCATATTAGATCTAACCCAGAGGAGCCAACAGCTCAATTTTCATCCTTTATCTGAGAAAATTATATATAGGACCCAGAAAGGCACTGCATTCATTGTAGGTCTCCTTTAAAAAAATTGGACTAACTCACGTCAAATGTGTTCCAGTAAAGTAAAACTCCAATTTGTCCATGTTCTAGTTGGGCTGTGGCTACCTTGGTTTTAAGTATGATTGGCAATGGAGAGAAGGGACAATCTGCTACCATTCCACTTCTTAGGGGCTGGGATGGTACTTTTTTACTTATTATTATTTTAAATTGGTTTAGGTGAAAACACAAATAGAGTCCTCTTCTTTCTACTGTTTTTCTTAACACAAGTACTTCCACAAACGAACCCAATCTTTCTGTTATTAGGTTTAAAAAAAATAATTTATGTTCTAAAACAGGTATCCTTCCATCTATTTTTGTAAGTACCATTTATTTGGAATGCAGCTACATATTAACTGGGTTTGACACTACAAAAAGCAGTTATGACATTATGACAGAGGCTAGCTATATGGTCAAAAAAGCTTGTGAAATACTTAGTATTTGGTCTTTACAAAAAGAAATGTTTTCTAACTTGTTCTTAAAAAGTCATAGAAAAGATGTTATGAGGGCCAGGGATTTAGCTCAATGGTTCGGCCACCTGCCTCGCAAGCGCAAGGTCCCAAGTTCAATCCCCGGTACCAAAAAAAATAAAAAATAAAAATAAAGATGTTATGAGACACACAGTGTTTGTCCAGCTAGTGCTTTATAATATAGTAGGGCTGCTAGAAAAAGAAGTAAGTCTAGGTCTAGTTATGTCTTCTCCAGAAGCAGAGCTGATTTGGAGTCCAAAGAATTCCAAGTGAATCGTTATTTCATTCTTTCTCACATGGAAACTTCTCTGAGATTATCCCTCCCTTATCAAACAAGATAAATATCTGACCAATCTTCTAGGGATACTATAACGACATTATCTGTATAGGTAACTTTCAAAACAGTCAACATTTTCCCCCGCGGATGTCTATTATTAAACTTGAGGAGTTAAGTGTACTTTTCTTGATATAATTTGCTTGTTTAAGCTCTATTCTGTGTTCTTTAAATGTCAGGGGAAGATTATGACAAATATTCTGATGATATGAAGCAAAAAAGACAAATGGGTGCAAGTGATATTTATAACCGCATACCAGCGAGTTTCATGACAAAAATACCAGGTTAAGTAATTTAAGCAGAGCTTTGTAATGAGACGAAGATATAAGGATCATTTGGGATCAAAATAAATTTACTAAGGGCAAGCACTTGCAAACATCTACCTTCTCAAAGGAGGTAGTCTCATTGCTATATCAGTAAACACACAGTGTCCAAAAAAGGAAGATACCTTTGTTCACGAACTTAATTCTTTCTACTATAAACCAAATTGGATAAGAACCAAATCAAATTTCCCCATAAGGTCAACATTGAACCTACCCATTGAATTGATTCAGTTCTCCTCCAACTTGGTTTGCCATCAGAGTCAGGAAAAGAATTAAGTTCATGAACCGAGGCACTGCTGTAATAGTTTTGCTAAACCCTTGGTTCAGAGCCTCTTAGAGATAAGATTCAGTCCCCGGCAGTATCCATACTGAAGAGTCACTGATAACTGGAGCTGTCCAATGAGACTGGCAAGAGTGAGTGGCTCATGACACAGGACTATTGGAGAAGAGTGAAAGGAAAAAAAGTCAGAAAAAAGGCACAGAATGATACACGGTGTTCAAATATGTGAAAGGATGTGGACAAGACAGATTAAACTTCTTCCAGCTGCTCACCAAGGTTACAATTAGAAATTCAAGATGCACGAGATAGTTCTGCTTAATTAAAAGAATTTTTCCTACAATTAGAGCTGTCCTTAAACTGCATTATCTTGGTGGAATCTGAGTACTTACTGCTGGAGATTTTCAGAAGAAACTGAATTCTGTTGTCCATGCTGATACTGAAAGCCTTGAAGAATTTATGGGGTTTTTGGTCAGTATGAGTTCTGACAACCTTTCCAAACACTAGGTTCTAGAATTTCTCTGAATGTATCATCCATGAAAAAACATTATTTCTGATACAAAGGCAGAATTCTGTTTCTCAGCACAAACCTAAAGCCTCAGATGAGACATAAACTGAATACGGTAGATAATTAAAATTATACAGATGGACATTTTAAAATAATACCTGTAAAGACTAAGAAATGATACTAGTGTTTTAATAGGGCCAATAAGGAAGTTACTCTTGATGTTCTATTGCTTCACACTCAACTGAGAAATGGAATGTACTAAGAGAGGCCAGCACTGCTCTGAAGAACTTACATAACACTGCTGGCAACTGGTAGCGTTACACGCACTGGGCCAAAAATTCAAGAAGGAGCATGACTTAAGGTTGCCTGGGGATGGTAAAGCCTCACCTTTACACATCCCTTCCCCGCCTTGGAAGTAATCCTGGCTTACTCTCCTACTCATGCCCAGGGCCCACTGTGGAAGCACCTCGTGTGCCTGAGCTTGAAGCGCTCACTTGGCGTGTCCCTCCTCACATGGCCACACTCACTGGTGAACTCTCAAACCCCACAAGGGAGAAAGACTTATTCTTCCAAGATCCCACTAAAATCAGGCCACCCAGAAGTGGCCTCTTTCCTCTTTTGAAAAATTCCTTACCATTTCTAAAGGAACCAGCCAACAAACATAACTAGGATTCACCTCAGCATTTTGGCTTCCTTTCTCAGAAAGTCCCAGTTGTTCCAGTTGAATCCCAGTGGTTTCTTACTTCGTTATATACTAAAGTTAGCTGGGAAGCTGATTAAACTGCAGAATCCAGGGCCCTGTACTTGACTGATGGAACTCAGAACTATATACAAGTTACCTCCTCCAAAGAAGCCTGATGCAGGTGAGCTGCACATGACACTTGGAGAAGTCCCACCGAAGAATCTAGAAGTTTGCATCGGGCGTATGTAAACACTTATTAAACATTAGAGAAAGATTTTAAAGTGAAAGACAAAGTATTATTTTTCTTTATTGCCACCATGAAAAGGACTTGCAATAAGTTTTTCTACGGCCAATATTTCAGGATGGAAAAAGAAATGGTTTGATTTTGTACATATAACTTTCAGAGCAGCTTATCTTAGGAAACTCTAATGGTGGATAAGATGAAGGCTAAATATTTGGTATCTTTTGCATATTACAAGGATTGTATCAATAAAACCAATGTGTAAGAATCTAAAAAACAGTGCCAGGGACACACACAGCCTTGGGAAGCTCAGCGCGTATTTATAAGAACAACCTCATTTTTCATGAAAAATGTCAAAGCTGGAACACAAATATTAAGGAAGCAGTTTTAGTTTATTTTTTGCAGTGTATTAAAATAGACTTAGAAAACAAAATATTGAGTGCTTTAGATTTTGCTTACATTGTATAATGCACAAAAATTAGAATGTATAAAATACCTAGCAGAACAAAGATTATCTACAAGATATACAAGCAACTGATTTCAAAGCATAAAATGAACTCTATTACTTCAATAAGTTGTATCCAGAGAATCATAAGTTCAAGCCCAGTCTGAGCAACATAGCAAGACCCTATCTCAAAACAAAAAATAAAAAAGGGCTAGGCATATAGCTGAGTACTTCAATCTCTAGTACTACAAAAGAAAAAAAAAAGTTGTATCTACTACATACTATGTAGCTTTCCTAACTCCCAGCAGGAGGGCAAACTAATTTTCTGTGCTACTTTTGGTCCTTCTTGAAGCTTAATTGAGTCTCTCCACTTGGAATCATAAATAAGATATAATAGTTCTAAATACATTTGTATTGGAAATTTGGTGTCTTTTGCATCTCAGGGACACTTGGCTCTGACCTAGAGGTAAGAAATTCTTCCAGGTCTTTCTAATTTTTTTTTAATTTTTAAATTTGTTATTGAATTGACAGATAATTGTGCATAATTACAGGGTACAGTGTGATTAGGGTTAGGGTACATGTGAATATTGTGTAATGATCAACTCAGCATATCTAGGTTATCTATCATCTCAAACATTCCTCATTTCTTTGTACTGACAACTTGCAAAGTCCTTTTGATTGATTTATATCATGCAATACTATTACCTGTAATCACCTTCTGTTTAATGAACACAGAACATATTCCTCCTACCTTGCTGTGTCTTTGCACAAGTTAACCTGCTTCTCTCCTTTCCCTTCTCAGCTTCTGTATCTCTATTCTCTACTTTAAGAGCTCAGTTTTTATAAGATTCCACATATGAGAACACGGAGTATTTGTCTGTGACAGGTCCTCTTTTTCCCTTTACATTCTGTTCTCTTTTATCTTCCAGGTCTTTTCCATTGGTGTGGCTTAAAGAGAGTCACAGCAAAATGAAAAATTAATAATGCTGTTCTATTCCTTGCTAAGGAGGAAAGAAGAGGGAAAGAGGAAGGAATATTGACGGCAGCGATGTTTGTGTAGCAGAAGTAAATGCATAAAACAAATACTAATTCTGATCTATCACACGAGTTAGTTTGGACATTAAAGGGCCTATTTTTCTCTTACAGCTTCTAGGAAGAAACACATTTGATTTACACCCATTTTCATGTTAATGTTAGAGAATCCAATGAGGTATGTATTAATGAGTAATAATTTTCTAAAAAAATAAAAACCTTCAACTCCAATATGAAGTTTAGTTTCAGACATTAAAAATGTTTATGAAGCTTTATGTAAACAAGATTAATATGCAATTTTTAAAGTTTAAAATTAAATCATTAGAAAATGTCTTTTATGACATAAATTAGTACTGGTGTACAGAGCTTTATTTTTCCAGAGCAGAGAATAAGCTGGAAGGAGCCAGTGAGAACACAGAGAGGAAAAGAAGCTCCCTAGGCAGCAGGTCTTCAGGCAACTGAAAGGCTTCCTCTCCTAGATACCCTCGGGCTGTTCCTTTCTATTTACATATCTTTATTCACACACAATTCTAAAAGAGCTTCCAGCTTTTCCTCCATCAAGAAAGCTTGGAAAAGATGTTAATTACAGTACTCAGAAATACGTTTTCAAAAGTGAAAATGAGCTGAGGATGTGGCTCAGTGGTACACATCTTGCATAACATACACAAAGCCCTGTGTTCAATTTCCAGCGCTGCGGACACACACTTAAAAGAGTAAGGGATGGGCTGGGGATTTAGCTCAGTGGTTCAGGCGCCTGCCTGGAGAGTGCAGGGTCCTGAGTTCAATCCCTGGTATCATAAGGATTTTTTTTAAAAAGCAAGGTAAGACACTCAACTAAATCTGAATTCCAGATAAAAAGTGACAACGCGCTCCCATCCCAATTACATTTCCCATCAGAGACCTTTTCTTCTGTACAGGTGTAGATACATACAAAACTTTTGTTTTCCTGAAATTGTGGCATGCATATTATTATGCTAGATACCTGGGATAACATTCTAAATCAGTACATATTTAATTTATCTTAATGTGTCTTATTCCATAATATAGCTTTACCATATTTTACCCTTAATTGTAGACTTTTATGTTCTAGTATACTATCATTACAAATAATGATGTATAAATATCCCAACATAATACATTCAGGGAATGTGCAGGAATATTTTTCTTTGCCAAAGTAGAATTTTCTGGGTCATGCACATTTCATATTTTGATATGTTCTGCCAAACAGCCCTTTAAAAAGGTCACATTTACAGTTCCACCAAAATGTATGAGATTATCTCAGAAGATTGCCAATACTAGATATTAAATGGATACTAAATATTTGTCAATTTCCTAATGAAAATATTCTTTTATTTGCATGATTTTGACTACTAATGGAACTTCGTATTTTTCATGTTTTCTTAGTCATTCACATTTCTTCAGCAAATTGCCTGTTCATATCTGCAGTAGACTATTATATTAGCAATTTCCAGTGAATCATACCTTCAATTTGTTCTGTCATAGTCTCATCTCCGACACCAATGATGGTAAACCTTTTAGAGGCAAGTGCCTAAACTGCAACCCAAAACCCACTTCTTTATCACAAAGTGCCCAAACTGCAATTAAACCTTCATACTAAGGTTTTAGTTTAAAAAAAAAAAACAACTCATACATTAATATCTTTTGTCTTAAAAACAAATAACGCTCGTGCCGTAGGTTCACCACCACTGTCCTACACTGACTCTGGGCTTGGCCATATGACTTGCTTTAGCCCACAGGGAATCTGCAATCATTACTGAAGCAGACGATTGATAAATACTTGGAGAGTGGGCCATTCCCTTTAGAAAACTCACTATTAAAGGTGCAGCGTCTTTCGGCAAAGAGTATACGGAAGAGGAGATGTCTGGTTGTTCCAGTGACCCCAGCTACGGCACCAGACATTTACGTGAAGAAGCCATTTTGGTCATTAAGTCTCAACAGACACAAAATTAAGAACCACCACCCAGCTGAGCCCAACTCCAGACTGCAGAATCATGAGACATAATATGCAAGCCATTTACATTTTAGGTAGTTTGTTCAATACTGGTATTGAAATATTGAGATAGCTGAAGCAAAAGCCTTGACTCACTTGTGTATTTTTTCCCCTCGCTGAACTGCTAATCCTTTGTTCCATTATACATTCTATAAGTATTTTCCAAGTCTTTTCTTTGCATTTTAAACATGTTAATCTTCTGTATAGCAAAAGTCACACAATCGAATCTGTTAAAGTTCCAGGTTTTACATCTATAATAAATTTTTGTTTTATAGTTACAATCTAAATTAACAGAACTATGTTATCTACAGCAATTTTGTCTCATCCAATCTCTAGAGCTTGTTCCTTTCCTGTTCTTCAAAGAAAACCTTTTAAAAGGCTTTACTTTATACTGACGTGCAAGGGGAGGTTATGCTACTGTGAGTCATCTGGAACTCCATATAGTCGAATTTACATTCATGGACATTCCTAAATATACTGTAAAGATATATGTATCTGTAAGACATATAAAGGGTTTCTAATGTATAATGAAAGCATTTTATTAACTAAACCATGACTAACATTCATTCATTTATTCATTCAACAAGGGTTAACTGGGTACTTATCCTGGGTAGGCCAGATTCATAAAGCATTAATACATAGTCTCTGGCCACAGAACTGAGATATAATCACAATCACAAGACAAGGTCAGAAATGCTAAAGGAGAGATGAGGCTGGAGATTAAGGAAGAGGAAAAAGAATCACACTCCTGAAGGTGGTGATCTGTGAGCTGGGCCTGTGGGGCAACAGAGATTGGACATGAAGCTAGCACATATTCAAGCTGTTCGGAAGCATCAGGCGCCCAGTCCTGGAGTGACAGTGTGTTTGTGACTGCAAGCTGGGCACGCTGAATGTCAGAAGGATGTGGGGGCGGGGGAGGGGCAAGTCAAGGGAGGCATCCCTTGCCAGGTGAAAGAGTGTGGAGTTAATTAGAATGGTGTAGTCTAACGAGATTTGTGTCAGAAAGATTAATCTGGGGGTAAAACTAAGAGAAGGAAGAGGATAAAACTGTTAGTCAAATATTGTGAGAAGTATGTTGAGCTTCCAGTGGGACCACTCTGGTTAGAGGAAGGGAGTGAGGAAAGCAGGGAGAGGAATTTCCATGATAGAATCAAAGGAACTTGGTAATTACTAATTACTTGTGACCTCTGAGACACTGTATCTGAAAGACTCAGCAGATAGAAATCTCAGGAATTTCCATCTGTGATAAGAAATCACACATCTGGTACAGCCCCCAGCGTATATCCTACCAATAGGAAACAAGGTGTGGTTCCTGAAGCTTGGCAGCAGGAGTTACTTCATACTATTTTAATATCACGACACTAAAATGTTATCTTTGTGGTGTTAGCTACCTACTTGGACACTCTACCTAACTAAGCAATTCTTTTCCTCCCCACAATTCCCTCAGGAGAAGAATTTGGGTGAGCAATGCCTACCAGCTGAAAACTTAGGAAAAGTATCCATGTACAGTGATACCTTGAAACTGTAGCAATTTAATTAAAGACGACCAATGGGGATTCAGGAAAATTACTATGCTTACTTCAAGAGGATAGGCACAGATCACCATTGCAAATCCCACATTGCAATAAACATCTTTGTCCATAGAGGTCTCTAGTAAGTTGGGTGATATCAATGCCCTTATTTCTCCAACACTGAGGGCTTTCCTGATGGTAAACCTACATTCTGTTCCTCATTTGGAGCCATGTCCTTTTATTAACCAGTCCCCAGTGACATGTATAGGTCAAAGAGGTCAGTGAAGTCCACAGGAGAGTGTCAGCCACCTGTAAAGGGAGGTAATTCATATGAGGACACATGACAGGAGTTCCTTGCATGGAGCTCTGCTGGGGAACATTTGGTTAAACCAAGGAAGGGCCAAGAAATTTTTTATCAGCTCATCTTGAAGGAATAGAAGTAATTAACTTGTCAGTGCCCTTTCACCTCTAACAAAATTTGTAGTTTGCGTGAAATGTGCTAACAACCAGCAGTTAATCGCCTTTATTCCCAGGTAAGACACAAAAGGAAGAGCAAAGATCATGCACATTAGGTTGCCTGACCAGACTCTTGCTGGGTTTGTGCTCATCAGTGCCCGCTCCTATGTACTACTCCTCTTCCTTTCTATCTCTTCATCCTACTATACCTGGAAGGAGAAAGGATGGCTCTATTTAGACCTCAGTTCTACAGCTATTTCCAACATGGATGCCTGTGATTATTAAAATGTTACAGATAATTTCCAATCCAATTGGACTGCTCCTTTTGCCAAGTGTGTACTCAAAGCTCTGAACAAAGCAAGGGCCTCAGGGTGTCAGTCTCAGTGCCAAGACCAGAAAGAGACAACCTGGGGGCCTTTGAATAGAAGAAAATCTATGGCTCTTTTCCTACCAACCAAGATCAATGTAATCCAACTTTAAAGCTCCCCTTCTGCAGAGCAAGTTAGGAATGGCATTCTGGAAGGTGAGAAGTGGGCTGCAACTTCTGTGCGGGGAAAGAGCTACAAAACACAACCCCAGCAGTTTCTGGAGTCAGTGGCAGAAGGGGACTAAGTACTGTGATCGTATTTGATGTTGCTCCATAGTTGTTATAATAGCTACTGGATTACAGTCTAGCTAACAAGACCAGGCAACACAGGACACATCATATGACAAATGAGAAGAAATTCAAAGTACCGGGCTGGCTAGAGAGAGTGAAATCTGAGTGGTCAAATAGGGGCAAAAAAATTGGAGTGATTCCAGATGAAGTAGTCTCATGAATGAAGGCACAGAAATGACAATGAAGAATGATGGTTGAGAAGATCAATTTGACCACAGCCAATCAATCACATGTCCATATGAAGCTATGAATATATGAAGAAATCCAAAACCTTAAAAATCAATCTGCGAGGTTTCAATTTGCTTGTATTTAGCTGGAATGAGGAAACCATGAAAACAGAGCAGGAAAGCTGAAGAGGATGAAAAAGTAGGCTAAAAAAATAATACTGTAACTGGGCATGCTGGTACATCCTTATAATCCCAGTGTGTGGTAGGCTTAGGTAGGAATGTTTCAAGTTTGAGGCCAGATTGCTGGGATACACAGTCAGTTCAAGGGCAACCTGAACTACAAAGTGAGACCCTTTCTAAGAAAAAAGAAAAGAAAAGAAAGGAAAGGAAAGGAAAAGAGAAAAGAAAAGAAAAGAAAAGAATCAATCATGTAGTGCAGGCAAGCGGTAACGAGAAGAGAATGAAAGAAAAGACGGAGTGCTCTAGAGAAAAACAGGATGAAACTCAGACAGGAAATGGTGATGGTGGCAGGCAAAGCATATGGAGAGCAGTCATTTCTGAAGTTAGAGTTTACACTAAGAGAGAATGGCAGAGCCTCTTGAAGAAATTAAAATTAGGAAAGTGAGCCAATGTGGAGGCTATAATATGATGCCCCTGGTTTCTGAGATGTCAATCTAGTGAGAAAACTGGCCCTAAAGGAGAGGACACAGATCATGATTAGAATATTCGCAGCCACAAAAGCACAGTAACTTACATTAGTACAAAAGACAAAGGGTGACTGTTAAGGCTTGTGAATGAGGTGGGACGATTTTGGAGGTGGCTGAATCTGGAGTGTACGATGCTGCGATTAAGGGTGTGTGATTACTAAACCACAACATGTGAGTGATTGATTTGGTACTACCCTAATCCCTGTAGTCTGGATAAAAGGGGCAGAAAGACACTGTTAAAGTCTCTCGTTGCTTTTGCTGCCACCATGCAGTTTGTTGCCCCTCTGCAGTTTGCCAATTATGGATGGAAACCTCTACAAACTGTAAGCCAAATAAACTCTTCCCCCTTTTACTTCGGATGTTGGGTATTTTGTTTCAGCAACAATAGAAAAGCAACACAGTGACAAACATCACACAGCTCATTAAAAGTGTTAATGGAGGGCCAGGGATTTAGCTCAGTGGTTCCACTGCCTGCCTGCCTCGCAAGTGCAAGAACCCCCAGTACAATCCCTGGTACACTCCCCCCGCCAAAGTGTTAATGGAGCAGGAGTCATGGACCAGCTAAACCTTTCAACACATGAAAAATGCTTCTGCTAGCTGAAGACAATTTTGGTCTTTAAGTGCTAACTGTAATATCTTGGCCATACTCTTCACATAATGATCTAAAAGAAGAAAACCAATGCTGAGAGACCTCTAGGGACCTCTGTGGCTGTGAATGGCACCAAATGTGTGGAGGCTTCCCAGAACCATACCAACAAAAGTGGGACACTGGGGGCACTAAGTGGCTTGTCCTGTTGCAGCTACTACTGCTTCTACATCAGAAAAAATCTTAGGCTATTCTGCATCTGTAGGATGAACGACAAAAACACAAACACTTGGCATCTCAGCCAGGATTTTGAAGCATTTTACTTTAACACATTGTTCTTTCATCCTTCCTGCAGTGAGAATGGAGGAATTGACACTAAGAGAATTTAAGTGTTTTAATGAACTGAAAACGCCTTTGCATTCATTATGCCACCATGCAATGCCAACTATCTGCTGGGTCAAACATTCAGAATGCCAGAAGGAACTTGGCATTCACCCAAGTCAGTGTCCTAGTTTTTCAATGACACAACTGAGGTTTAATATCATGATGCTCCTTAGTGGTCCACCAGGGCAAGACAAGCCCCACCTCCCTCAGTATTCTTTACTTTAGAAGAAAAAATAATGTCAGCAAGAGGGAACATTCACACTGGTAAGAAGATAATAAAATTATACAGATACCTTCAGGTTGCTCTGGTTTTCGTTATTCAAAAATAATGAATTGCATCTAAAGGAAGACTTCGGAGGAAGGATTTGATCTTCCAGTCTATAGAGTGGGTAGAGAATGCAGGGCTTTGCTAAGTTACCAAGGTTCTTTTAGGTATGACAAGGAACAATTACGTAAGAAGGAAACCCCAGGAACCCATCCGGAAAACCTTCACAGGGACATCAACTGCTGTTCCAGTCAGTGAAATTAAGGACTAGACTAACAAACCGCTTGCAGAACACCTTAAAAGTAAGAGCATAATGAAAGGAATACACTTTGTACTGTTACTTCTTCATTTCACTTTGACTCATGCCACTTAAAAATGATCCACACTTCAAATTAGTATTATCTTACTCAAATACGGTAGTATTCTAGAAATGAACATGGTGAAAATAATCCATCATGTAGTATGTAGATTTTAGCTAAGCCATTCTTTGTTTTTGTTATTCTTCAATTTCCAAAAGAATTCCTGCTAAATAAATCAAACTTCTGCTTGAAGGAGCAAATACTAATGTCCACCCCTACACACACACACCACTGAGGGATACAACAGTTCCAAAAAGCAAGCTGAATTAAGAGCATGTAATGTTTGATCCCAGTGATTGAGGCTGATTTTAAAAATAAACTCCATCTGGTGTTTCTGGACCCAAGAAGGTCACCTCTGTCAATCAGCCGATTACGCCATGGGGAAAGGCAGACACCATACTTCAGTGAGTCCCTGTCTCCTTCTGTTACCCACAGAGTGCCTGTCATGAGTGAGATGCTGAGACAGGCTTCAAAATCACCGGCAAAGAATCCCAGCAGTCAAAGGCACTGCAGTGACCCAGAGTCTCAATAGGAAATTAGTTGTTCCCAGCTAAACTTGTTGGCAATGTACTTTAATCACCTACAGCTGGTCTCCACATAGGGCAATGATAGTCTGAATTTGATTTCTCTCCATGAATATGGGGTGAAGAGAACACCAGCATGGCATAAACAGCCCACCCATTTTACCAAGTCTGCTCCTCATTATCCTCCCCTTTGCACAGATAAGCAAGTGGAGACTCAAAGAAATGTGTCCCAGAACAACACAAAGCTTGACTTTGTCAGACAGCTGTTTTCCATGCCCGTTTGCCTGCTGTCTGGCTTTCCTGAGCCCACTGAATGACAGAACAACTGGAAAGGGCCCTTCCTTGAACCCTTAAATGTCTTTCAGTCTGATTCGGTTGGCTGTCATTACCCCTAGCTTAAACCTGCACACACAGTAGCACCTGGAAGCTGTGTGATCGCTCCCATCCCTGGTTGCCCAGGCCAGCAATACAGCTTCAGGCTCTGGAACACACCACTTCTTCCTCTAATTCAGAGCAGCAAATCGTGACCCACAGACCAAGTCCTGCCTGCTACTTCTTTTTATAAATAAAATATATTGGAACCCAGCCACAATCATTTGTTTATATATTGCCTATGGCTGATAAGCTACAACAGAGTTGAATGGTTGTGACAGAGACCATATGGTCTGCAAAATCTAAAATACTTACTGTCTCTGGCCTTTTCCAGTGTCCTGGACCTTGTGTAATTGGTGGCTTAGCTCTTCAAGATGGGCCCTCTCCCTCACCCACGACTCCACAAGCTTCAGAAGACCATCCTTTGCAGCAGACTGACTTCCTAATAAATCTTTTCCTTCCTCAAGTGGATCGAGTTAGAAAGCCTTTACACTTCCCTTCAAGAAAAGCCGATATTTCAGAGGAGCCATGAGCCATGTGATATAAGCAACTAAAGAATTCTCTAAACACAAACCTCAAAGCGCAAGTGGATACATTCTTTAAAAGTGTTTTGGAAAACATTACCTAATAAATGGAGATAGAAAAATACACAATAGAACAAAATTATATTTTTAGTACTCTAATACTCTCTATTTATGGGAAAGTAAGCCTTTAAAAAACTTAACACATACAGCAATTCAGAACTTTTACTCTGAAGTGCAGTAGTAGTTTTGACATGGACAAGCAGAGAAAAATCTGAAGTCAGAAAGACCAAGTTCAAATTATCAACCTTCAGCCAAGTTGCTTACCCTTACAGAGCCTCAGTTCCTTCATCTTTGATGCAGGAATATGTATCAGGGATCTATTGCTGTGTAACATGTTACCCCAAACCTCAGTGGCTCAAAACCACCACTACTTACTTACTCATCCTTTTTGAGTTAGAGTACTTGCCAGTTCTTCCTTGGCCTCATTCACGTGGCTGTAGTCCTCTGGCAGTTGGCCTGGGGCTGGCAGGTGTAAGGCAGAGTCATGCACATAGCCAGGTCATCCGTGCTGGCTGTGAACTGGGGCTCCCCTCCAAGAGCCTCTCATGACTCAGAAGTCTAACCTTGGCTTCCTTATTCAAAGGAAGGACATTCTAAGAATGGAAGGCAGGACCATAAGGCCTCTGTGGCTTGAGGTCTGGAGTTGTACAACATCACTTCTGTCACATTCTGTGTGCCAAAGAAAGCCACAAGAGGTGAGGAAATGGATACTACTTTCTTGATGAAAAGCACTGCATGAGACTGTGACCACGTTCTTCCCAGGATGTCTTTCCATGTGTGCTTGTTGTGATTCCAGAATAAAGTAATACATGCCGAATGTTTCAACAGAGGGTCAGTTCATGAACTATCTGGGGCATACAGAAAGAACTTGTCTACTCTTCATCCAGTTTCTGTCAAGATTACTTGTCTTACTGACATTCCTCCTACTAATGTACATCCTGATTCTGGCTGTATCTGGAACACATCCAGCATCTCCTTAGGCTTCAGCTATCCCAGGCATCCACTTGTTCACGTAATAATTCAAAAGAAGCACACAACAAAGTTGGCAATAGTTTCAACCTAGCTTTTCTATCAGGAAATCTGATTTGCAAAGATCATTTTACCACGGGAAGTTGTCTAAATAAAAAAGAAAAATACCTGGTCAAACTCATTTATTACAATAAATAATGTTAAGTGACTGCCTAAGAAACAATGTGTTGGGAGTATTTTTACTTGCTTTCTAATGAAAGGAACCATGTAATCAATCATCTTGAAAAAAATCACTGTATATCTATGTCCTTGAAATAAATGTTTAGACTTAAAGTTTAAGGGTGTAGTTTTTCCCCTTGAACTATAAAGCTGACTTTCTGCTGATCTATCACAGTTATATCACAGGATGTCCAAAGATATAAAATAGTAACACTGAAGAGATAAGGTGCAGGTGGAGCTGCAGTCTCCTGTAGTTGCACGCTCATGTCTTTTGTAGATCTCCTTCTCTGTGCATCAGGAGACAGCCTCAGCAGCCAAACTGGCAACAGCTTATGATCAGCGTTGACCGTCCTAGTCCTAGAATCAGTTAAAGACAACAGCAAAGCCCTGGGCATACTAAGAAACAAAATTTAAAGACAGTCTAATTCAGAGAACAAATCTCCTTTAGATAATCACAGTCATTTACTTGAGAAGGGGAGATGGTGCATTACAATTCAACTGATGCTACTCAATCTCACATAAGCACATGGGTATAGAATAGCCCAGATATTAGAGACACAAAAGATCCCTGCATTTGATAGATGAGGAAACTGAGGCCCACAGAGATCATTATACTCACATCCAGCCAGAGACTGTTGCATAGACAACTACTGCATGCACAGCCAGCATGCACAACATATGTAATTCAGAGGCAGGGAGAGTTCCACCTTTAAAAATCAACAGACAGGCTGCCAAATCCTGCATGGGTAGGGAGTCATAGTTGTTGGGAGATGTTGATGGTGCATTTTCAACAGTACCATAAACTCTAGCCATTAAAACTCTTCCTACTCCTGTGAGACAAAATCCAAAGTAGCCATAGGACCATTCCTATTGGGCAACACAATACTTTTGGGGTCAGCAGACATTGCCTTATAGGAAGCCTCCTGCTACTTCACCAAAAACTCTGCAAAGACAAGTGGAATTGAAATGCTATGGCTCTGTAATCAGTATCTTTAGCCAGATTCCAAGATATTCCAAGGCATGGCAGTCTGTGTCATCACCACTGTGGTGACTTGGCGGCCCAGGGAAGGGCAATGCCTCTGGTTCCAAAGGTGTAGGTAAGTGTGTGGCATGGTTAAGCATGCCAGTGGTGCTGGAGACTTCCACTCCTTTCAGACCAGGCATTAGGCACTACGTGGACCACAAACATATGGAAAAGAATTGTGGTTATGGCCAATGTTCAATGAAAAGATTATACCTTTATCTAGATCAGAAGCTTGAACCCAGAATAAAAGCATCTGGCTTATCATTTTCAGGTTTTTCTGCCTCTTTAGACTCTGATACTATGTGTGTGCTCCATGCTAACCCACATTTCTACATGATTGGCTTGAGATTTATCCAACACACACGGGCATTTCTCAGTTTCACCTGTGAGCCAGAGATCCTTTAGGCAACAAAAGTAGCTTTGTTGTACTGATTGTGTTGATGTCATTCCTACCCTACTTTGGGTCACTGGTCCCAAGAGGCAGGGAGACAGGAGGACTTCTGATGAGAAGAGCTCTAGTGAAGAATAATGGGCAAAAACAGCCAACACTTAAGGATGTGCTAAATATCTACCCTACTGGAGTTTCTTCTCATAAAGTACTGCAGACTTTATGCAAGAAGGTAATGTGAAGGTAGGTACAGTCCAGCAGGGATTATGAGCCTCCTCCAAACTGGACAGGACAGTCTTGTGGACTGAAAGGGAAAAGGGGTTTCAGAGTACAGGGTGTGGCCATTGCCCCCTTGTGTAGTCACTACCTGGAAATGCATTCAGAATGTGGCTGGATAATGGATCTACCACTGAGTGCTCCACTGTGTGGAAAGAATAAATCAACCTCACAGTACAGTAGAAAGGGGATCGGGACAGGAATTCAGAGCATCAAATATCTAGTCTTTGCCATCAAGTGGCATGGACCTGATTAAGCCACACAATTGGTTTTGGCATTTGGCAGTTAGAGGACATCATTTCTTAGATTCCTCTGACTTTGACATTTGTTTCATTCTCTCCAGGCAGCTTAACTAACAGGTATGTGTGTTCCTCATCTTGCAACATAAGTTGAAAACTTGACCCATTATACCCTAATAGACACACAGCAGTAAACAATTTATTTCAGAATCTGGAATATATTCCGAAACTACACCTGAAAAATCCTTCAAGAGGAAGAAGCATTACCCAGGACTCAAAAGTAAGAGCCTGAAAGTATACAAGAACTTATGAATCTTCAGCTCTTTGTCTTGGGAGGGGAAGCTAGGTCTGGTGGCAAATCGTAACAGGTACGTTAGTTACCAAAGCTAAAGGTGCCCCTGACCTGTATCCTGGGCTTGTCTCCTCCATTTATGTTTATACACAGGTGGCACGTGCAGTCTATGCTTCAGAAGTCCAGGTCTAATGCTACAATTCAAGAATTTGGCTCTTGTGCCAGATCCTTAGATTTCTATTTCAGAAAGATTGAAACTGATCTAGAGCAGGTCATGCGATTTCCTTAGGAAAAAACAGTTATAGGGTAAACACATAGTAGAAGCCATCAGTTCCACTCAGAAAGCGCAAAAGTCTAACAAATACCGGTGTATTACGTAAGAAAGCCAACAACCCTGGTATCATTCTTTCTACTCTATAAAGGAAGTCTCAGCTTGGATGTCTTGCAGATGCAGACCAATTCCATTTGTCATAAAGTCTTGGCTTGAAAGTAAAACCGTAGCTCAGGAGCTTGGGGGTGTCACCAAAAGTGCAAAGGAAGGCTTTCCTGCTCATAGCCTTGATAATGAAATACACTTTCTACAGATCGCAAGGCATTCAGTTTCTCACTTTCAGCCTTCAGTCAGAAGCAGGGTATCCACGTCTCAGCTAGGCAAGCTCCCAGGTCAGTCAAAACACGGTGCAGCACCCTGTCCCTGCTTCTAGGTAGCCAGTCTCTTGCTTGGTTCCTGCTTTGAATGACATCTCAGCGAACCTCCCTGCCATGACTTTGCTATGGGTTGCTTCAGAAAACACACGATATACAGACAAGGCATCTTGTCCTCGAGAAACTCCTGAGATCTTAAGCGAGCTAAATTCAGGCTATGGATAAATCCACATGGTACACAGGGCCTAGCTGTGTTCTGCCTTCCAGGAATGATTAAAGTGGGGGCTATAATCAAGTGTAGAGTTCGAGGAGGGCTCCCATCAGCAGGACAGGAGAAAGTGACCTGCAGTAACATCTGCCTCCCCAGCATTCTTTCCTGGAGATGATTAATGGGACCTCTGGGAGTAACCTTAATCAGATGTGCTGTAATTACTTATTAAATGTAACCCAGCTGCAGAAGACAAAGGTTATGCAATATTAAAGGCAGCTGGAAGTAGAGTCCCCACAGCAGGATATAAGTGGAAGGGCAGGCAATGACCTTATGTGTCGGAATTTAATTAAAAGTGTGCCTTTCTGCTCAGAGAGCCAGCCACTTTTAGTAGAATATAATCAGCTCTGAAATTGATAATTATATGAAGACTAAATATATAATTACAGTAACTTTTCCAACTCACCCTGAAATGTTTTTTCAATGAAATGCAAGTTAGTTCTTCTAATTTAAATTTTATAGCTAGCTTAAATTGAAAACAGTGACAGAGTTGTTTGTATTCTTTATAGGAATATTTACACATTTTCAGATTTTGCTGAATTTATGCTGTATTAGCCAAGCTAAAATTGCAATTCTCAGAATTCCTGACCCCATGATGTTCCACAGTGGTGCTGACCACGAGGGGCATTTTGTGCATAATTTGGAAGGCAATGTAGCATCAGCTTGCTTCAAATATTCTCAAGGCACTGGTGATGGTCATGGTCATGAGGCAGCAGTTGGACCCTTACCTCCTACTGTGCTCCTCTTTCAACTTCTCTGCATCCTGGCCCAGCATGGGCAGCTCTGCAACAAAGAACCTGTTTCCCTGAAGATCATCAGTATACTGGAAGTTGGAATAACAAGATTCCAGCTTGTCCTGTGGGTTCCAGCTCATCTTTGACCTTCATTCACATCTACCTTTCATTCCTGAGTGCTGGCCCTCCTGACTCAAAGCTCAGAATCAGATGCCAAAGCATCGGCTTTACAGAGATTGTTTCATAAGAACCTACACTTGCATAAAATTAAGTCCTCATAATGAATTCCTCAGCTTTCATAGTGTTTCAGCTTCTCTAATTTCTTCTCTGATATACATGCTTTTATTAAGCTACACATAACTATAATGGAAGAGGTGTGTGTGTGTGTGTGTGTGTGTGTGTGTGTGTGTGATGACCATATCATTATAATCACTGGTGCTTGTCAAAGATAAGACTTGGTAAGTGCTGGCAAAAAAAAAAAAAATCCCTCAAGACTGCCCTGAGGAAGAACCAAAAGTTGTTTACTTTGATTCTGGGGCATCCTGTGTCTCCTTTCTAAGGCACTTATAGTGCATCTTTCTTAGCACTGTTCCCAATTCATCTGCTAAAGTAAACATGATCCCCTGGTTTATGAAGTCAGTACCCTTCATTTTAATACATTTAAATACAAGTATACACTGTAATAAAATATGAAATTGTCCTCAATTCAGCAGTCATCTTTGATTACTGATAATTTTGCAGTTAGGTGAGGCTGCTGAAAGTCTGGCTTCAGTACAGGATTCCTTGTACAGAACTGTTCAGCTGCATACAAAGGTGAAAATAAAGAATTTAAGGACAAGACTATTATGAAATCTTTCATAGAATTGCTTATAAATTCTTAGGTCAAACAAAACATGCAGGCAGAGAAGACAGATGAAAGTTTAAACCAAGGTTATGTTCCATAAACCTAAGTGATGTTTGACTCATTTAAATAACACATAAGAATTAAAAAGATAATAGGTTAACATAATGAAATTCTGCCAATAATCCGGTACCTCCCTTAGTCTTTATCATGGTCTTTTGTATGTACACATCCACCTGTGCACACATAAGCTGATTGACTGGCTTGACAAGAACACCTAACCCATAGGAAGCCAACCCATTGGGCAACCAGGGACCAGTCATAATCTATCCTTTTAGAATATTAACTAAAAATGAATCAAATACAGCTGGGGAGAAAGGTGGCCATTTCCCAGCACAGACACACGGGATGCATATTCTGAGGCTAGAACTCTACCAAATGGAGAGACAGAACAGGAGATAAAAAAATCTTGTTGACTCTGAGGTACTAAGAAATGGAAAAGTGCAGGTATGGATTCCCATGTGACCTAATGTTACAGCACTTCACTTTCATAACAAAGCCCCCATTTTTTCCCATAATAAAACTGATTTCTACCTGAGTTACTTGGAGAGGTCTTATTTTCTTATAACCATATGAGCTCTGAACCTATGCTTTTTTTCCCTCATCCACACAGTTACTCGTTACCTGTCGGACCCTGGCCTGTGCAGCCCTTACTGGGTCAGGATGACCTTACGCAGCAACTAACATGCCCCTCCTCTGGGACCGCTGTAAATCCCCAGCAAACTCT